AAAAATATAAAGGGTATTGTAGTCATTTCCCTTTAAAATTTATTTTTAATTTAGTGCATTTGTCCGGTAGTGAATTTTCAAAATTCCTTGGACTTGGTTTGAAATAATACCACATCAATGGTCCTATGTTGAAATTTTCCCAATTCCTTTCTTATGCATGCACTTAGAATGAATTAGATGTGTTCTGTGATTATCCCATATTTGATATGTCAAGTCAAATTCAAATATTATTAAGTACAATTACGAGTCTCTCTACTAATTTATCAATATGTTATGTCTATTGTTACACGAAAAAGGTGGTAAAATTTGAGGTTGTCAATTTTGTGCAGTGGATATTACATAATTGGGATGATGAAAACGCCATGAAGATACTGAACAATTGTAAGGAAGCAATCTCAAAGAAAGGAGGAGGAGGGAAGGTGATAATCATAGATGCAGTGATAAAGGAGAAGGAAGATGAGCATGAAATGACAGAAGTGAAACTCTTGTTTGACATTATGATGATGAGTAACTTCAATGGAAAAGAGAGAACTGAAGAAGAGTGGAAGAAACTTCTTGTCTCTGCAGGCTTCAAACATCACAAGGTTGCTCCTCTTTTCGGGTTTAGGTCAATTATTGAAGCTTATCCTTAATTAATCAATATTTGGTTTGAAACGTATTGGCAAATATATTTAGACTTTAAAGTTTTATATTTTTATATTTGATTATGCAACAATACGGAGCCATGCCTATGCATGCATTACGGTTGTTGTTTGATATATACTTGTTTGCAAGGGGAATAAATTAGCAGAATTTCGGTCAAGGACCATTGCAGAAGCTTTATTTCAAATCAAGATTTAATCATTGTAAATTACACTGTAAGATAATCAAGGTACTAAATTGAAATTATATTGTAAAGGGAATAACTAAAATGTCCTTTATTTATTTAAAAAAATCACCAACCACGGTCATTGGTGCCCCACTGCTAGCCATTAATTGAAGCTGCAATGACCAAACAACCATCGACAATAGTCCTAAAATGTTTGATGATCAGACCACTGTTGCTAATAGAATAAATGCTCGAAGGTGATCAAAGGAGGTTTGAACCCATGACCTTTTGGTTCACCTAAAAAATATAACTACCAAGTCATTGATATGTCTTTATTATATATTGCAAAAAAAATATTAAAAAAAATAAAGGATTAAGGGCAGTTTCCCTCTTAAATTACAGGTTTAAAAATGTTCAAGACCTTAAACTTATTTTTGATACTATGTCTTTCTTCTTCTTTTTATTTTAAATGGCACAATGTTATCCTTACCATTAATAAATTTGACTTTGATAGTAGTTAGTTGATCAGAAAATTACATAAAATATCTAAAATATTATGCAAAATGATACAAAAAATTACAAATAAGGACCCAATTAAAAATTACCGTTAGTTTCTTCCATTCTTCTTCAATTCTCTCTTTTCCATTGTAGTTGCTCCGTCATAATGGCAAACAAGAGTTTCGCTCATGTCATTTTTCATGCTTATCTTCCTTCCCCTTTATCACTGGATCTATGATTATCTCCTTCCCTCCTTTTTCCTTTCTTTGAGATTTCTTCTTTACATTTGCTTAGTATTTTCATGGCGTTTTCATCATCCCAATTATGTAATATCTACTACATAAGATCGACAATCACAAATTTAACCACTTTTTTCATGTATTAATAAATATTCAATATAATGACAACAATATCAAAAAATCATGTTAGTAGAGATACTTTTAATTATATATATTGTACTTTATAATTTTGTATTTTGAAAAAAACTTAAAAAAAACAACACCATCAACAGAAGGGATGTATTCAAACATGTTGCCACTAACATAACTCAAATTATTGCTCTAATAAAGGTGGTTGATGGAATTAAAAAAAATAAATGAAAAGTATTTTGGTTATTCAAAGAAATATAATTTCAATTTAATCTCTTAGTCTTACAATGTATAAATTGCATAATAATTATCTTGATTTGTGTAGTAGGAACTTATAATACTAAGCATTTGCCTGAACCATGCCACTTCTTAAACGATGATGACAATATTAAACCCTTGAAATCTAATTTTGCCAACCACCAGGCTCCACTCTTGATAGAGGCCTATCATGTGAATTTATAATTTTTTGGTCTCCCTAAGGTGAACTCCCATCGATTCATGATTATGCCCCAGTGATGAATCCACGAACCAATGTAATGGGGGGCAAAATTGAAAATACAACATGAAGTGAGGGGCTAACATCTATTTTAATGTTTTTTGTAAGTAAAACTTCTAATTTTTTTCAAAGAGTGATTGGAGGGTGGCGGGGCAATGGCCCCCCTGCCCCTTCGAGATTCGTCCCTAATTATACCTATTACAATTTATGCTCATAAGGCATATTGGCATATTTTCATGATCAATTTCATATTATATCAACCAATATGATTGAGTTTCACATTTAGAAGCATCAAAAACCATTTAACAATATTTCATACCATATTCAACCACTTTACATATATTTTCTAAAACATAACTGTACGTAGAAATTTTTATATCAAATACATGCTAATCAATTTGTAAAACTTATAAATCAAAGATAACCAATAAATATATATATATATATATATAAGAATTTAAGTTTCAAGTTACCTCAACTTTTGGTTTTTCCAAACCAAAAGTACCCTTGAATCGCAAGTGGAGCCTCTAACAAGCTCAAGAGCTCCAACCCAAAGAGTAATTAATCTACAATTAGCACTATTGAACATCATTAATTATCTCTAATCAAACTCTAACCCTATGATTCATGTACAGAAATGGGATTTAGTGGCATGCATTTTACAACAACAAAAAAGAAAAAGCCACTAAAATTAAAGCAAAAGACCTTAGGTGATATTTCTTATTTCAAATGCCACTGTTTATAAAGTATTTTGTAAAATAACAAGAGGTAATGTTGTTTGTTACAAGAAATGCCACATCTTTTTGTTACTCAATAATTAAGTGACATTTTGGTAATAAAAAGTTACCTCATTACTTTGTTATTAATTAATTAATTAATTAATTTTATTTTGTTAGATTAAATAATTATTTTATCATAATTATTTAATTAGTGTTAATAATTAATAATAATTTAATAATTAAAATAAGAGGTGGGGTTTCTTGAGGTTGAAAAATGCCACTTTGCTTTGTTATTAAATTAATATTTTATTATAATGATTTAATAAATATTAATAACTAATATATAATATTATTAATAACAAACAGAAGAAAAGTGGCTTTTCCAAAACTAGTAATCACCACCTCTCTAGTTGTTATTAATTATTTATTTTTTTATCAATTGAACAATTATTTTATTATAAATATTTAATTAATATTAATAATTAATAATTATAATTATTTAATAATTAAAGTTAGAGAGGTAGCATTTCTTGAGTTTGGAAATGCCTACTCTCTACTTTATTAAATAATATATATTACTTAATAATTAAAATCAAAGAGATGGTATTTTCTGAGCTTGTAAACACCACCTTTCTTCTTTGTTATAAAATTAGTACTTTATTTTATCATATTAAATTAATATTTTATTATCATAATGTAATAAATATTAAACTAATATATAATATTATTTAATAATAAAAAGCATAGACGTGGCATTTCCAAATCTAGTAATCACCACCTCTCTACTTTGTCATTAATTATGCATTTTGTTTTATTAGATTAAATAATTATTTTATTATAAATATTTAATTAGTATTTAATTATTAAAAGCATAGAAATGGTGTTTCTAGAGCTTGAAAATATTACATCTTTAATTCATTGTTATTTACTCCCTCCATTCAAAAATATAAGACATTTTTTAAAGAGTTGGGTGTTTAAAAATGTAAGAAATTTTTAATCTTTTAAGGTGAAATTATTACCTTTTTTTTAAGTTCCTCTATTGATAATAACTTTATATTTATTGTAGGGTATTTAATAGAAATAAATATAAAAAAATAGGATTAGTTTAAAAGTATATATGTATTTTTATCAAATTAGATAATTATTTTATTATAAATATTTAATTAGTATTTGTAATTAATTATAATTATTATTTGATAATTAAAAGCAAACAACTGGATTTACTTGAGCTCGAAAATGCCACCTTTCTACTTTGTTAAGAATTAAATTTTTTTATTATTGTACTTATTTTTATTATTGATATAACTATTTTTCTTGATTAAAAATAAAATAATTGAATTATATTTAATCAAAAATATTGCGATTGGTTGGAAAAAATATTAAGAGTTATTGTTATTGCAAATATATTTATATATTTTTCCTTTTTTCGGCCTTAAGATATTTATTTTATGTCAAATATTATCTTTAAAATAATATTTTTTAAATATCCGGTGGCGCCTAAAGATGTTTTATTTGTATGCTTATTTAATTTATTTTAAATATTATTTTTAAAATAATATTTTATTCAGATGCACTAAGGTGGCGTTGCATAATCAAAAAACCACATAAGTGTTTTTTAATATGTTATTATTGTCTTTCTATTTATTTTATTTATATTTATATGTTTTACATAAAATATTATTTTTAAAAGAATATTTTATTTAAGTAAACTTAGGTGGCATTTTAGAGTCAAGAAACGCCGCCTAGGATATTCATTTATTATTATTATTATTATTATTATTATTATTATTATTATTATGACAATTATTTTATTTATATTTATATAGTTATATTTTTTTATTGTTTGGTTATTTACTTTTTTAATTATAGTTTCTGTTTTAGAGATTAGGGGCTTAAAATGCTACTCCACCGACAACGGTTAAGGAATTTGTTTAAAATAATATTTAAAATAAATTGAAAAGCATGATGGAATTGGTTCTTCCTTTAAAAAGAAAAAAAAAATCATGAAACAAGTTGCGTTTCATTCTAAACTAAGCGTTACCTTACTTTTTCTTTCTAATTAATTTTTATAAGATCTGGGTAGGTTTTTCGAGACGCTCCTCACACGTAAACCCTACTCTTTGCAGCGTTCTCTGTCTCATCCTCTTTGCTGAGTTGAAGCTCGCCGGCTTCACCTTCTTTGTCTGCCCTCTCCACCGACAACGATTCTGCTATTCCATAAGTCTTTCTCTACATTTTTCATTTTCATTTCTAAAGCGTAAATGGGACCTTGTATTTCCTCTACTCCAAATTTGAACTTGTTGCCCCTACCAACTAGGTGAAGATCTGATGCAGTAACGTGTTTTAAGTCACAATCTGGATCCCTCACTTCCTCTATTTCTTAAATTTCAAGTCACAATTTCATTGAGTTTGTTCTCGCCCTTTGCCTTGCAAACTTAGGTAAATTTGGTGTCTGAGTTTTGCGTTTTTTGTTTATATTTTAGGAATATGAATTCACAACTTGAATTTTGTTGAGTTCACAAATTGTTTTCAATAGGAGCGTCAAAAGTAAAGATGTTTTATCTGATAAGATGTTTTGCTGCGTAAAATGTAAAATTTCATTCAGCTGATGGAGATTGAGGTATTCTTCCAGGCGATGAGTTCGCTTCGGTAGGTGATTTGAGCTTTGTTTTCCTTCTTATTATTGCTTGTATGCTTGCTATTTTAATAATTTAATTGTTTAGTCATGATCTGATGCTATATGACTTGTGGATAAATCCAGTGAATTCAGATGTTTCCTTAATTTTGAGTCTGCGATGCCTTGCAAATTCTGTATGTTGCCTATAACAGAGGGACTCTTCCATCAGACTGTTCAAGTGCTGTTGAAGCTTTCTTATGAAAAGACTAGTGTAAGCGAGATTAATTTCTCATTTTTGAACTACCAACACACATACACACACTGTTCGTCTTCCAATGAGCTCAATATGGGGGTGGAAAAGAAAAGTGATCACTGTTTATCTTATTTCCTCATATTTTTCCCAAAACAACCAGCTTCCTCATGATATGTCTATGTTTATAATTATATGAGAGTATAGCATACCCATCCAATTTAACTCTAGTAGCAAATTACGCATCAGTTTTCATACAGACATATATCAAGAAAAACAAATTCCAATATGATATCACTTAAAATAAAATTTGCTAACATAACTGAGAGAATTCATATACATGTCAGTGGTAAAAATCAACCCACGATTGGTTTGAAATGTTCAGTTATAGTATCCAACATCCTAAAGGTCATAGCAATAACAACAAGAAGTTTCCATTATTAGCTTGTTAATCACTTAAAAAGCATATTATTCTGATAACTATTTCTTAGAGTTTTTCTTCATTAGATTGAGTTTTAAATTTTGAAAGTTGTTATCTCTAAGCATAGTCTTTAGTCCAATTCATTATTAATTTATACAAAAAATGACTACCTACTGCTTCCTGCATTTTACATAACCAGAAATATAATTACCTAGGCTTGAGTTCAACGCAAGAACTCCAAGTCCCTTTTCTTGTGGAGAACCTCCAAGACTCCTACCAGTAATCAATTTAGAATTCCTATCTAAAAATCCTTAAAACTATAAATAAAATTCTGCATTTAAATTTAACATAAAGAGAAGTATAAAATTAAATTCTAACCTTTCTAAACTACCCCAGTGTCCTCTTGCCTATCCTATAATTAGATTGGACATCCTAACTAATGACTTTCAATATTTTATTAAATTTATTAGTGTTTTTAATGTAATTGAAAGTCATTTATTTGAATTTTGTTAGCAAAATATGATTAAGTGAATGAATGCATGTAAAAATAGGCTTGAAAATGTCACGTCCCAAAAATAAAAGGTGATCGGCACCAAAGATGAACCTTATAATAGATCCTCATAAGCCTCTAATCTTAAATTCATTCCATTTCTAAAATATAATTAAGTTTATATTGAAATTTTAACATTTCTAATATTGGTCATTATAATAAAGTTTCAAAATTTTGTAAGAATTTTGATAGAACCCCTCCGTAAATAGGATTTTCTGAATCTTTACAATACCAAAACATTCACAAAATATCATGTCAATTAGGAGCTTAGTTCCTTCTAACCAACAGACAGCATATATACTACAATAGAAGCCCTAAATATATGGCCTATATGGAGCACCTAATCAAACTTCTTCAAAATAAAACAATAAGCATTTATAGTTACATCAAAAGGAAAATTTGAAATTAGTTCTTCATCCAGCATGTCTATAAGTTCTCGAGGTCAAAAGGAGGATTGACGTCGACTAGGGCATCTAAGACCAAAAATTTTACAATAAATAACGTCCCAACAATAAATAATAGAACATGAATAAAACAAAAAGTTTGAAATAATTATGTAAATTAAAGAGACAATACTTAATAATGAAATGGTTCTATAAAATTTCAAATAAAATCTTAAATTATTAAAATATCATAGCAAATGATAATATTACTTGATTTCAAGAAAGTACATAAATGAAATAAATATTTATAAACAAATTACTAAATAAAAATCAATGGAAAATAAAATTACCAAATAATTGGATTTAAAATTATAGAGACTTATCAAAACAATTAACAAACGTGAACACATAGTCCATAAGGGTAAATAACCAAATGCAGCTTGAAGCCATGAAAATAAACGTAAACACATAGTCCATGAGGGTAAGTAATCAAATGTAGCTTGAGCTACGAAACAAACATGGACACATAGTCCATGAGGGTAATGCTAATCAAACATGGCTAGAAACCATGAAACAAATGTGAGTACAGGACCATGAATAACAAGCGTGATAACAAAGCTCACAAAAATCAAACTAGCTAGTTATTGATCACGGTGCACCAAGGGCTAACAGAAGTACCGCTAGCGACCAGTGTTCTGTATAAAGTCCCTTTTAAAACCAATTTCAAACATACGAGAAAATAATCACTATTAAATAAAATTTTCATTTTCAATATTGAACTCGCATGAATCATTTTCTGTATCAATCCAATAATTTTCAAAATAAAATCTCACAATTGAAGTCCAATCTTGCATTTATTGATTAACTAAGAGAGTTTCACAGAAGAAAGTAACTTAAAAATCAAATAGCCAATGATCTCATTGTTACCATTAAAATGGTTTATATGAAAATGTAATATTTTAGTAAAAATAAATTTGTTTAGAAAATTAGTTGGGATCTATCCACTTGAAATTCTCAGGATTCAAATTTCATCTCTCAGCTTTAATCAAATTTCTCTTCTTCCAAATACCCTATAAATCATATTAAAATTTTATTCAACTTTCAGCCATTATAATAATTCTTTTTTTTTTAACATTCCCACCAATAAGCAATTATAATAACCTTGAAACTATAAAACCAAAGCTTTACACTAAGAAAATATTCCTCGTTAGTATTTTGTCAAGGCACCAAATACAAATCCTTTCCAATTCCCTCATAACAACTCTATCATTTAAACATTTTCTCAACAAACTATTGAGCTTCAAGAAATCCAATAATCACATATTATTAATTTTATAGTCAAATGTTTTTTGCAACTTTCAAATGAAATTTATAAATTTATAACATCTAAAATAACTTTACTTTTCACAAGAATTAATGAAATTTTAAAATTAAGTTTAATTATTCTAACAAGCATTTTAATAAACATTTTATAAACACTAGTTTTCAAGTATTTCATCTAAGCTCTTCTCTTCCACTTCCACTCTAACAATTGCTTCAACATTAACCATTTCAAACAAATTAATTTAACTCAACCAAAAATTATATCATTATCAAGTTTTAAGATAAGTTTTGACTCCATATTTGAATTGTCTCTTCCATATAATAGCACGGCAGCACAGAACACAAATTCTATAATTTATTCACGCAAACACAGGCAAGCCACACTCTCACGCACATCAATAGCAGACCATATTCACAAGCACAAAAATAATCAAGAAGAAAGAACCCGAATCTCCTACCTCTGTTCGGTGCAGTCAGGGACAGAGAAGAAAGTAAAGCAACAACTTAGATCTCCATGGAAGAAAGCAAGGAGGGAGGGAATAGCTTCAATGGCTGAACAGGGAAGTAGGAAACTAAACACAGCTCACAAGAAAGGAAAGAAACCGAATCAGCAGCACACGTCCAAACTTGCGACAGCACCACCAGCTCTTGCAATTTGGTTTCTCACACCCATCAGCGACCTGAACACAAAACTTGAGAACAGAGCAGCAACTAAAGAAGGTAAACAGGGATGGGAAACACGATGGAGAACCTGGACTATGCATAGCTGTAATGAGGTTCCACTTCCGCTGGTAATCACCAGAAATGAGAGGGAAGAGACGAAGCGCAGAGTAAAGATGAAGAAATGGTTGAATCAAATTTTCTCTCTCCTCACCAATCTTATGCACGCACGCAATGTCCAGCAGCTGATGAGGGAGAGAAGATGAAGACTGAATGCATATACTGACCTTCCTAAACACGTTGATGGCCGAGGAAAAATGGTAGAGAAGCCCTCAGGATGTACAGCCACGCACTCCACAGCAACGAAAATTACAGAGCAAGAAAAGAAGATTGAACCAGTGATGGAGAATGTTGATGGAAGGAGGAAAAGAGAGGGGAAAGGCTTGACCGGAGGCACAACAACGAGAGACCACCGGAAAAATTGAAGAGGAATGAAGGGAGACAGCAACGACCAAGCAAATTGATTCGAAGGGTCCAGAATTATCTTTTTCTCTTCAGGTGCATGCTTCTGACTGACAATGAAGAACAAAAATCTGAATATTAGAAAATTGTAAAATTACAAGAGAGGGCACAATATTTTTCTCTAATTACATAGAAGACACGAATATTTTTGGCAAATTTTTCATAATTGTAAACTAAATAAAATTAACCCATTACTCAAGAGAATTCAAACACTGGATCTTCAAGTAAAGTATTAGCATTAATTTCACTAAGTCACCACTTTTCATTTTTCATAAAATAATTTAAATAAGATATAATTTGGAATTTTTTTACATATATATTTTTTTAAAATTTCAGGTCATTGCAAAAAATATGTTAGAAGTTAGTAGACCAATTCTATCATTTATTTTAAGTTTTATGCATGTAGAGAGGCTCAATTTAGGGGCCCAAAGAAGAATTTGAAGCCTAAGTCAAAGGAATTAAATTTGAAAAGAAAATTTGAACAGGTCATGTTTGTTGCAGCGAAAATATGTTTCGTTACAATAAAGCGCGATTTTAGTAAAATATACAATTTTAATTCTCAATGAATTTTTAGAGCTTGGGCACCTCATTTTAGACCATTATTCGCCTCCAGCAGCAACAAAACATTCAGGAAGAGAGAAAAGAGCCAAAGAAGGGTTGGAAAAACTTGGGTTTAGTAAAAATTAAGGGTTTCGCTCAGAATTGCTTTGATTAAGCTTTTCTTCTCCTTCTTTTCTTTACTTTGCCGTACATATCACTAATTTTTCTATTATGGAAGCCATGTGTGGCTGATTTTCTCTTAATCTAAGGTAGCTGTGAACAGATTCTTAAATTAGAGCATGTTTGGACCATTTATTTGAGCTTAATATTAATTTTTCTTACTTAATCTTGTGCTTATTTGTCTACTTAATACTTGATCACCATTGAGTGTGAATTTGGGGGGTTTAGGTTGTGCTTTGGAAGAGGAAAATCTAAATTTAACTATGAGATTGAGTAATGTGGAATTAGAATTTATTCTAATTTGCCAATAAGATAGGAATATACCTATTGAACCCATATAATCATATTAGAGTGGATTTATGCATTTTTGCCTCTTGGATAATTGTGTTAGGAATAGCATATTAATTCAAGACAATGGTGTAATTAATTGAAACATAATTATTCCTATTAATACTCTAGATTAACAAATTAATACCAAATGAATTTATTTGGCTAACTACATACTCTATGAATTGAAGAAGGGATTAGCAACCCTAGATTGCCTTGATTATTTGTAGTTGTTGGAATTTTAATTTTAGTGCATTCATATAATTTCAATTTCTTATTTTGCAAATATCAAATTTAAATTTTTTTTTTGCTTG